ATAGATTACTTTTTGATTGATTCTTGGCTAATTTCACAAGTTAATGATACCAAATACCACAATATATTGATTTCAGATCACAGTCCCCTTACCATGCCTATAGATCTCTCTCTTCCTAAACAATGTTACTCCTGGCGTCTCAATCCATTTTATTAAAGCAAGATAAATTCATAGAATACATTGATACTAAATTAAAAGACTTTATAGAAACCAATGGTAATAGGGAGGTCTCCGACTCCACACTGTGGGAAACCTTAAAAGCAGTCATACGCGGGTATGTTATTTCTTATGAATCTGTTTCTAAAAGGGAAAGAGAGAAACGACTTAAGGAAATACAAAGTATTCTTCCTACTCACGAATTGGCATATCAAACGTCGAAGTCGCCTGAAGATTATAATAAAATAATAAAACTCAAATATGAATATAGTTGTATTCTGGGACATCGAATAAACAATCTTTATCTAAAAATGAAGCAAAGATATTTTGAAACAGGAGATGAGCCTGATAGGCTTTTAGCAAGTCAGCTTAAAGGAATTCAAGCTTCCAGGTCCATCCATAGTATTAAGTCCAAAGACGGCACCCTTTTAGTTAATCCCAGAAATATCAATGCCCGCTTTGAAGAATTCTACAGGGAGCTTTATACCTCCAATAATACATCCACTGATAATGATTTATCAAACTTTTTTGAATCTATTGATATGCCTAAACTTAGTGACAATGCACGGGCAGATTTAGACTCTGATTTTACCAAGGAGGAGATAGATGCTGCCATAAAGTCATTTCCATCTGGAAAAGCGGCAGGGCCAGATGGGTTCGGCCATGAATTTTATAAGAAATTTAGTAATGTTCTCTCCCCTTTGCTGATGATACATAGTTCCAAAAAAGATACGATTTTGCCCAGTACACTATACGAAGCTAACATTTCTCTTATTCTGAAGAAAAACAAAGATAAAACTGACCCAGCCAGTTATAGGCCAATTGCGCTACAAAATTTTGATAGAAAAGTGATCACTAAAGTGTTAGCCATGCGACTTAATAAACATTTATTATTCATCATTCATCCCGACCAGACTGGATTTATCCCTGGAAGATTCTCTTTCTTTAATGTACGTCGCCTTCTTAATACAATATATGCCAATCATGCAAAAACAAAAGGAGCGGCAATTTTATCTTTGGACGCACAAAAAGCTTTTGATCAAGTTGAATGCCGTTATTTATATGAATCATTACAAAGGTTTAGATTTGGTCAAACGTTTATGTCATGGGTTAGATTAATATACGCCAAGCCCATGTGTTCAGTTTTGACTAATGCAGACAGATCACCTAAATTTCCTTTATGCCGATCAGTACAACAGGGTTGCCCTCTTTCTCCAGCCCTTTTCGCTATTGCGATTGAGCCTCTTGCCCTAAGCATAAGACGCCACATAGAAATTACAGGCCTTCAAGTGGGAAACAGAGAAGTTCTTATTAGCCTTTATGCAGATGACATTATACTGTATCTGTCAAACTCTGAGCATTCAGTCCCAACTGTTTTGAATCTTATCACTTCTTTTGAAAAAATATCCGGATATACAATCAATCTGTCCAACAGTATTTTCATGCCCCTTTCTGACATTTATGACCCTGACTTCCTTGAAAATATTCCATTTAAAATAGTTAAGGATAATTTAACTTATCTTGGGCTGACAATCCCTAAAGATTCAAAATTAATATTCAAATTAAACTTTGTAGAATTTCTTTCAAAACTTAAAAATGATATTAATAACTGGAAGATTTTACCCCTGTCTATGATTGGCCACATAAATTCAATTAAAATGGTTTCTCTCCCCAGATTTTAATATCTTTGTCAAAACCTCCCTATTTTCCTTACCGCTTTTTTTTCAAAGAGTTGGATTCTATAATAATGTCTTATATTTGGAAGTATAAACCACACAGAGTTTCAAAAATCCATCTTCAAAAGCCTAGTTCTGCAAGGGGCTTGGGAATGCCAGTATTTAAACATTATTACTGGGCGGCTAACACTAGAGCTTTAATGTTCTGGCTGGAGGATGCACCAGTTAATTCTGCGGCAGAGACCCCTCAATGGGTGCAAGTGGAGGCCAATTTGGCTTTGAGGACCTCCCTAACGGCGATGTTGTTCTCTAAGCTGGACAAGCCTAAAATTTAAATAAACTGAGTTTTTTGTTGAAAAACTCAGTAAAAATTTTTAACCAAATAAGTAAAGCTCTAACACTACCAGAGACCTCTGTATTCACACCAACCTGTCAGAATCATTCATTCTTACCGGCATGGACTGATAAAACGTATTATGCTTGGAGAAAAAACAGTTTGTGTTTTATCAAGGATCTTGAGGATGTTGAGGGGCGTTTTGCTTTCTTCAGCTAGTTAAGGGAAAGATTTGACCTCCCTCATACACATTTTTTTCGTTATTTGCAAATCAGGCACTTTGTGAAGTCCAAAATTCCCAATTTCGAACTCTGTCCAGAAAATCATGTGTTTTATGATATCTTTACAACCCCCCCCCCCCCTGACTCCAGACATCTTATTTCTAAATTTGTGTGTTTATTTGAAAGCTATGTTACAGTATCCTCCAATAGATTTAAAGTTGCCTGGGAAAAACATTTGGGAATCAAACTTTCTGCAGACACATGGGACAATTGTCTGACTTCAATACAGTCATGCTCAGTCAACAGCAGACACCAACTGATTCAATTTAAGGTCATACATCGTCTACACTACACTTAAGCCAAACTCCATAAAATCTTTCCTACAGTCTCACCAATGTGTGATAGATGCAAGATAGCAGAGGACACGGTTGCTCATGCCTTTTGGCTCTGTCCCCTACTGAACAGATTCTGGACCAGCATATTTGACTGGTATTCCAAGGCTTATAATACACTTTTTCTGCCAGATGCCGAGCTCTCTATCTTTGGACTTTCACAAAACACATCTTGGCTCCCTCAAACAGTGCAAGCGTCTTTAATGCAAGGCATGGTGGTTGCTAAAAGACTATTGCTTAATAATTGGAAATCAACGTTACCCCCCTCATTCCAGAACTGGATTTCTGATATGATGTCTTTTATTCAGATGGAGAGACTCAGAGTTTTAAGGACTAGCTCCACAAGAAAATTTTTGGCTACTTGGGGTCAATTTCTTGATTTATTTGACAAATCTACATCTCAAGAGCAATCCAGTGACCCCTCTGAGGTTTAAGCTATACACCTTTACTAGTTTTTATTGTATGTACTATGTTTTGTGACTAAGATGTGTGTGTTGTTTCTTTGTGTTTATTTTGTCTCTTTTCTCTGTTGTTTTTTTTTTTATTGTCTTTTGTTTGTCTAAGTACGAGCCAATGTGTGTTCTTGTTCTGTGTGTGTGCATATATCAAGAAAATATGGATTATGACGCCCTGAATGCGTTTGCGCCCTGCGCCTTCCGTTTTGCGCATGGACCGTCAAAATAGAGCCCATTGTCTTCTTGGTAACACTTTACTTGAAGGGATGTTCATAAAAATGTCATGAAACCTTTTAATTTTAAATGATATTGACAATGCTATAAAAATTATAGAGTATTGACACTGTTGATGAGAAAATTTAATGCCAATTCAGTTTGTTCCACTGACAAATTGATAAACAGAAAAATATTTGAAACAATTATTATGGCGGGGCAGCACAAAGGATTAGTGGTTAGCACAGTCACCTGACAGCAAGAAGGTTGCTGGTTTAAGTCAATTTATGTGGGGAGAACAGAGCAGGTTCTTGGTGAGGGACCAGTGTTAGCTCACAGACAGATTTGTCAGCTAATGAAATCTTATCAGGCAATAGCAAAGCTAGTATTGACAAAACATTAGCAAAAAAACATTCTTTTAAAACTTATTTTAATTGTCTTAATATTTGATAACTTTGATTTACTTTTTTTTTATCTAAACATACTTTAGGTAGTATGTTTTTTATTCGTTTTTATTGTGTTTTAGTATGTCTTTAACCTAAAAATACTTGTGTCTACAGGCTTAGATAGGTCTGTGTTCCTGCCTAAAGTGCATATATGCCTTCTGTAGCACATACAGTACAGGTCAAAACAGCAAGTCTCCAAGTCTTAGTGCAGAGTCAGGCACTGCTTGTCAAGCGTTGACATCATTCTTTATTAAGACACAGCAAGCATTTAACTCTGCTGTACAGCTGCAATGACTCTACACAGCTGAGACTATGGTCTTGTTACACTTACCACAACATTTACCAAAAACGTTGGTGATATGGTGATATGGAAGCTTAGTTTTTATTTCAATACAAAAAGCTCTGTAAACATTTTGCATAATAAAAAGATTTCCATCAGCTAACATATCTGTCTGTAAGCAAACACTGGTGTCTTACCAAGAACCTACGCTGTTCTTCTTCAAATTACAGCTTAATTAAAATTCTGGCCTACCCTACTCTGTCTGAGTTACAAATGTATGGTAGAAATGATAAGGAAATAACTAAAGAACACACACAAGATGGCAGTTATGGTCTGTACGCTATGGAGGGGGAAATGGTCAGGAAATGAGAAGATCAAGGATAAATAATTTTGTGGTGCTGTTGACCAAGCAAATGTTTCTGCTTGTCGTAATTGTAAAAATTATTTATTGAGATACTGTGGTCTATAACTCCTCCCTGAGCTCATCATCTCACATTGGCTGTAGGTCATAATCCCCTATGTTTTTAGTCCGAACTCATTTTACACAGAAGGATTTTAAATTGAATAGCATTCAAAATATATATGGTACTTGTGACAATGAGCACTGGTTTGTAATTTATCTGCAATTTCACAAAACCTGTTGGTAAGTGCAAATAAGGGCTAAAATTGTGCAGTGTGAACTTTGCTCAAGATGCAAAGGCCAAGCAGGATGATGAAAGACATGTGCAAAAATAATAATAAAAAAAAACAGGGAGGAGCCAGCCCATGTCCACCTTACAAATTATTGTAAAGGGGTCAAATATGACAATATTGAAAATGGGTCATACCTGCTGCAGCCCTTCAGTAATGGAGGTAACAGGCGACATCCCACAGGTCAGTGCTGACAGCATGTACCCATCAGGACCAAATGAGCTAGTGAAATTTCCCTGCTGTGAAGCAACAGAAGTAGGTATATCAGACAAACAACATTCATTCTAAAAATCTATTTTACATTTTATGTAATTTATAATAGTATTTCAGAAGAAATTACAAAATTATATGTGCTTTATCACAAGATTAAAGAAACGGTTAAAGACACAGCTGTTTTACACACAGCAGGGTCCCTCATGTTTTGGGGTCCCCTTGAAACATTTCCGTTGTGTTACGTGGTTATTTGCAAGTGCTGTGGCAAAATGTAGTGCGTTTCTTAAGTTGTCTGTGTTGTAACAAAATGCAGCACGTTTCTTCAGTTGTTTGCATTGTGACAAAATGCAGCTCGTTTCTTCCGCTGTTTGGGTTGTGACAAAATGCTGTGCGTTTCTTCCGTTGTTTGTGTTGTGAAAAAATACAGTGTTTCTTCCGCTGTTTGCGTTATGACAAAATGCAGCGTGTTTCTTTAGTAGTTTGTGTTGTGACAAAATGCAGCGCGTTTCTTCAGTTGTTTGTGTTGTGACAAAATGCAGAGCGTTTTTTCAGTTGTTTGCGTTGTGAAAAAATGCAGCCTGTTTCTTCCGCTGTTTGGGTTGTGACAAAATGCTGCGCGTTTCTTCCGTTGTTTGTGTTGTGAAAAAATTCAGAGTGTTTCTTCCGCTGTTTGGGTTATGACAAAGTGCAGTGCGTTTCTTCCGCTGTTTTGCGTTATGACAAAATGCAGCGTGTTTCTTTAGTAGTTTGTGTTGTGATAAAATGCAGCGCGTTTCTTCAGTTGTTTGCGTTGTGACAAAATGCAGCGCGTTTCTTCAGTTGTTTGGGTTGTGACAAAATGCTGTGCGTTTCTTCCGTTGTTTGTGTTGTGAAAAAATTCAGTGTTTCTTCCGCTGTTTGCGTTATGACAAAATGCAGCGTGTTTCTTTAGTAGTTTGTGTTGTGACAAAATGCAGCGCGTTTCTTCAGTTGTTTGCGTTGTGACAAAATGCAGAGCGTTTTTTCAGTTGTTTGCGTTGTGAAAAAATGCAGCCTGTTTCTTCCGCTGTTTGGGTTGTGACAAAATGCTGCGCGTTTCTTCCGTTGTTTGTGTTGTGAAAAAATTCAGAGTCTTTCTTCCGCTGTTTGGGTTATGACAAAGTGCAGTGCGTTTCTTCCGCTGTTTGCGTTATGACAAAATGCAGCGTGTTTCTTTAGTAGTTTGTGTTGTGACAAAATGCAGCGCGTTTCTTCAGTTGTTTGCGTTGTGACAAAATGCAGCGCGTTTTTTCAGTTGTTTGCGTTGTGACAAAATGCAGCGCGTTTCTTCAGTTGTTTGCGTTGTGACAAAATGCAGCGCGTTTTTTCAGTTGTTTGAGTTGTGACAAAATGCAGAGCGTTTTTTCAGTTGTTTGCGTTGTGAAAAAATGCAGCCTGTTTCTTCCGCTGTTTGGGTTGTGACAAAATGCTGCGCGTTTCTTCCGTTGTTTGTGTTGTGAAAAAATTCAGAGTGTTTCTTCCGCTGTTTGGGTTATGACAAAGTGCAGTGCGTTTCTTCCGCTGTTTGCGTTATGACAAAATGCAGCGTGTTTCTTTAGTAGTTTGTGTTGTGACAAAATGCAGCGCGTTTCTTCAGTTGTTTGCGTTGTGACAAAATGCAGAGCGTTTTTTCAGTTGTTTGCGTTGTGAAAAAATGCAGCCTGTTTCTTCCGCTGTTTGGATTGTGACAAAATGCTGCGCGTTTCTTCCGTTGTTTGAGTTGTGAAAAAATTCAGAGTGTTTCTTCCGCTGTTTGGGTTATGACAAAGTGCAGTGCGTTTCTTCCGCTGTTTGCGTTATGACAAAATGCAGCGTGTTTCTTTAGTAGTTTGTGTTGTGACAAAATGCAGCGCGTTTCTTCAGTTGTTTGCGTTGTGACAAAATGCAGCGCGTTTTTTCAGTTGTTTGCGTTGTGACAAAATGCAGCGCTTTTCTTCAGTTGTTTGCGTTGTGACAAAATGCAGCGCGTTTTTTCAGTTGTTTGAGTTGTGACAAAATGCAGAGCGTTTTTTCAGTTGTTTGCGTTGTGAAAAAATGCAGCCTGTTTCTTCCGCTGTTTGGGTTGTGACAAAATGCTGCGCGTTTCTTCCGTTGTTTGTGTTGTGAAAAAATTCAGAGTGTTTCTTCCGCTGTTTGGGTTATGACAAAGTGCAGTGCGTTTCTTCCGCTGTTTGCGTTATGACAAAATGCAGCGTGTTTCTTTAGTAGTTTGTGTTGTGACAAAATGCAGCGCGTTTCTTCAGTTGTTTGCGTTGTGACAAAATGCAGAGCGTTTTTTCAGTTGTTTGCGTTGTGAAAAAATGCAGCCTGTTTCTTCCGCTGTTTGGGTTGTGACAAAATGCTGCGCGTTTCTTCCGTTGTTTGTGTTGTGAAAAAATTCAGAGTGTTTCTTCCGCTGTTTGGGTTATGACAAAGTGCAGTGCGTTTCTTCCGCTGTTTGCGTTATGACAAAATGCAGCGTGTTTCTTTAGTAGTTTGTGTTGTGACAAAATGCAGCGCGTTTCTTCAGTTGTTTGCGTTGTGACAAAATGCAGCGCGTTTTTTCAGTTGTTTGCGTTGTGACAAAATGCAGCGCGTTTCTTCAGTTGTTTGCGTTGTGACAAAATGCAGCGCGTTTTTTCAGTTGTTTGAGTTGTGACAAAATGCAGAGCGTTTTTTCAGTTGTTTGCGTTGTGAAAAAATGCAGCCTGTTTCTTCCGCTGTTTGGGTTGTGACAAAATGCTGCGCGTTTCTTCCGTTGTTTGTGTTGTGAAAAAATTCAGAGTGTTTCTTCCGCTGTTTGGGTTATGACAAAGTGCAGTGCGTTTCTTCCGCTGTTTGCGTTATGACAAAATGCAGCGTGTTTCTTTAGTAGTTTGTGTTGTGACAAAATGCAGCGCGTTTCTTCAGTTGTTTGCGTTGTGACAAAATGCAGAGCGTTTTTTCAGTTGTTTGCGTTGTGAAAAAATGCAGCCTGTTTCTTCCGCTGTTTGGGTTGTGACAAAATGCTGCGCGTTTCTTCCGTTGTTTGTGTTGTGAAAAAATTCAGAGTGTTTCTTCCGCTGTTTGGGTTATGACAAAGTGCAGTGCGTTTCTTCCGCTGTTTGCGTTATGACAAAATGCAGCGTGTTTCTTTAGTAGTTTGTGTTGTGACAAAATGCAGCGCGTTTCTTCAGTTGTTTGCGTTGTGACAAAATGCAGCGCGTTTTTTCAGTTGTTTGCGTTGTGACAAAATGCTGTGCGTTTTTTCAGTTGTTTGAGTTGTGACAAAATGCAGAGCGTTTTTTCAGTTGTTTGCGTTGTGAAAAAATGCAGCCTGTTTCTTCCGCTGTTTGGGTTGTGACAAAATGCTGCGCGTTTCTTCCGTTGTTTGTGTTGTGAAAAAATTCAGAGTGTTTCTTCCGCTGTTTGGGTTATGACAAAGTGCAGTGCGTTTCTTCCGCTGTTTGCGTTATGACAAAATGCAGCGTGTTTCTTTAGTAGTTTGTGTTGTGACAAAATGCAGCGCGTTTCTTCAGTTGTTTGCGTTGTGACAAAATGCAGAGCGTTTTTTCAGTTGTTTGCGTTGTGAAAAAATGCAGCCTGTTTCTTCCGCTGTTTGGGTTGTGACAAAATGCTGCGCGTTTCTTCCGTTGTTTGTGTTGTGAAAAAATTCAGAGTGTTTCTTCCGCTGTTTGGGTTATGACAAAGTGCAGTGCGTTTCTTCCGCTGTTTGCGTTATGACAAAATGCAGCGTGTTTCTTTAGTAGTTTGTGTTGTGACAAAATGCAGCGCGTTTCTTCAGTTGTTTGCGTTGTGACAAAATGCAGCGCATTTTTTCAGTTTTTTGAGTTGTGACAAAATGCAGCATGTTTCTTCAGTTGTTTGCGTTGTGAAAAAATGCAGCCTGTTTCTTCCGCTGTTTGGGTTGTGACAAAATGCAGAGCATTTCTTCCGTTGTTTGTGTTTTGAGAATTTGCAACGTGTGTGCCGTCAAACTGATAAAGAATGTTTATTAATTTGGCTTTAGTAATTGCATGTGTTTTCTTAAATTGCAGCTTGTTACACTCAACCACTGTATAAAATTCTGTTTCAGACATGTCATGTTATATCTGGTTTCAGGTTAGCATTTTGTTAAACAACAATCAGTAACAGAACCAAATGTTTCCAATATGTTTAAGCATTCTGCTTTACTTTAATAATGAATTCAGTTTATCTGTAAATTATACACTTGTTGCATTATCATTCCAGTTGAAAGAAAATTCATGAAAAATGCTTAAAAAGTACCCACAATTCTGGAATGAGTCATGTACATATTATTGCTTTTCTAGTGATTTTTCTAAGTAATTTTGAATAAAAGCGTGTGCTAAATAAATAAATGTACATCAAAGAAGCAGAAAGTTTTTCTGTCTTGAAACTTGTCACATAAGAGCCACCATGTACTCACCACCGCATCTTTCACCACAATTTTTGCCACTTGCTCCGGTTGAGAGACACCAGATGTCTCTGAAATTAACTTGGTTTCCAGAGGCTGCCCAAGAAAAAGATATACACAGGAATTTACTTTTAAATGGTCTATTCATATTAATGTTAATATTAGAGGTCAGATATTAACTGTTTTCAAGACAAAACAATAAATTGCTCACTTTAGTTTTATTCTCTTCTGCAAAACCTGGTGTATCTGTGTCTGGAGGATATGCCACAGTAACATAGATATTATAGGGTTTCATCTAAGAAAAATCAAAAATCAAAGTTGTATCAATAGACTGCTGCATCATACAGAAGATACAGAGCAAGTGTCCTGCATACAAACTCACTTCCATCTGCAAGGCCTCAGCCAGACCACGCAAGGCAAATTTGGAGGGTGAGTAGGCCGTGTAGCCAAAGAGGCCGATCTGCCCTGCCTGTGATGACACAAACATGATGCGACCCATCCGCCTTTCTTTCATAGTGGTGATCACTGCACGGGTGGGGTAAACACTGCCCAGATAATTCACCTCCATCATTTTCTGTTAAAAGGAAAGCACACACTTAAGCTTAAATGGTAAGTTGATTTCAAAATGTTAAATCTCTAATCATTACTTAGCCTCATGTTGTAATAAGACATTTTCAATCCAATTTGCCTACTTGTACTCCACCCTAAAAGTACTGCATGTACTCATTTTGTAAAGAAAAAATACATACATTTGACTTACTACTGTAAAAGAATAACAGGCTAGTTTGGGGGCATAATTAATTGTCATTAATTGACCAATCTTGTCAAATCCTCCAAATGTATATCATTAATTTCCATCCACATAAAAAATGTTAATCTGCCATTCGCTGAGTCATCATGAAGAGACATCTTCTCGTGTTTGCAAAATGATTTATTAGACAAAATAATGACAAAATGTATAGTTCACAAACTGGCAGCAAACAGCCTCTCCACTTAATGCTCAGTCTTGTGAATCCATAATTCCTTTTGTTTACATATTGTATGTACCCTTGTTCAAAATCCAAAGTGCAATGTTATAGCCAACATTAGCTTTAAGTGTGTGCAAAGATGTAAAAAGGGATAGTCTGTGAAACTTTGAATACTCATGTAAACACACAAATTATGTTTTCAAATATGATTTAGGATGGTGAAAATTGGGACACAAATAAACCTAAAAGTCCTAAACCTTAAAGATCTTAGTTTTTTTTTTTGCTTGGTATTTGCCATAAATGATGAATCTTGTCTAGTACCTACATGCCCATTTAAGAATGCTCTCAGTTCTTTGATGAAAGTTTCATAGTTTACATGCTTTTGTTGACTCCCACTCGTTTTAGACTCGTGCATAATTTAATGTTGGACATTCAGCAAATCACCGTCTTTTGTCATCAAAAAATGACATCTTGTTGCAGTGTTCAAACTGCTATATAATCATAGCCTGTATTATGAGCATATTTCAAATGCATTCAAAGAATATTCACAAATTTACCAGATTCCTGAGGGAACAGCAAGCTTTTGCAATACTGAATTCATGTATTTCATCTTAATTGGTGTGGCATATAAGGTGCACTCAGCTCTTACACTACCATTGCATTTGGAGTGGGTTTAGATTTACCAGTTGTGTTGTTGTCGCACTCGGCAAACTGACTGTCGATTTTCAAAATTAAAAACAGAATATGCAAAGGGTTTAGGGTACGCTATATGCTACCTGACAAAAGGCTTGTCTTTCATCCCAGTTGTAAGAGAAACAAATAATAACTTGACTTCTAGTTGATCATTTGGAAAAGTGGCAGAAGGTAGATTTTTCTGATAAAGCATCTGTTTAAAACAATCCTTATCATTACAAAGACTGCAGCAGACCTATTGAAACCTGCATGGACCCAAAATTCTCACAGAAATCAGTCAGGTTTGGTAAAGGAAAAATAATGGTTTGTGATTGCATTTAGTTTGGGGGTGTGTAAGAGAGTTGAATGGCAACATCAACCGCCTGAGGTATAAAGACATTTGTGCTGCCCATTACATTACAAACCACAGGAGAGAACACATTCTTTAGCAGGATCGCTCTCCTTCTCATATTTTAACTTTCACATCAAAGTTTCTGAAAGCAAAGAAGGTCAAGGTGCTCCAGGATTGGCCAGCCCAGTCACCAGATATGAACATTATTGAGCATGTCTGGCGTAAGATGAAGGAAGAGGCATTGAAGAAGAATCCAAAGAATCTTGATGAACTCTGGTAGTCCTGCAACAACACTTTCTTTGCCATTCCAGATGACTTTATTAACAAGTTATTTGAGTCATTACAGAGATGTATGAATACAGTCGTCCAAAGCTCATGGCAGTCATACGAAATATAAATTATTTTACCACTGCACCATGACTTTATATTCTACAATGTACATCATTTCTGTTAAGTGATAAGACTTTTGTATAAGCAAAGTCAGACCTTACTGTCCTTATTAAATAATTTAAAATCAATAGAATTTTTAAATTCTAAAATTTAGAATTTTTTAAAAAGGTTTCAAATTGCTTGATTGACTATGTCCTTGACATAGTAAATGATTCATTAATGACAGGAATTTTTCCTAATGCTTTTAAAAAAGCTGTGGTAAAGCCACTTTAAAAAAAAAAAAAATTTGGACTAAACAGTTTTAAATAATTACAGATCAATTTCTAATGTTACATTTTTTAGTAAGATTTTAGAAAAAGTTGTATTGCTACAGCTCAATCAATTTTTAGATGAGCATAAAATTTGGGAAAAATATCAGTCAGGTTTTAGAAAAGGTCATAGTACAGAAACAGCATTATTGAAAGTAGTTAATGATATGCGCTTAAACATAATGCATCAGTTTTAATTCTTCTAGATTTAAGTGTAGCATTCATTGATCATTGCATTTTGATTAACAGACTGGAAAAACTTGTAGGTCTCTCTGGGATCGTTTTAAATTGATTCAATACATATGTCACAGAAAGGACATTCTTAGTAAATATAGACGAATATACATCGCAAGAACACTATATTATATGGTGTTCCTCAGGGATCTATCCTAGGCCCAAGTCTATTTTTAATATATATACTTCCTTTAGGTAGTATAATTCAGAAATATGGCATGAATTATCATCTTTATGCTGATGACATACAATTATATATTTCTGTTGAGCCAAGAGACACTGCAGCATTGGAAAATTTGTCCAACTGCATGTCCAATATTAAGCAATGGATGACTGCAAATTTTTTAAAGTTGAATAAAGATAAAACAGAAATTCTAATTGTGGGCAAAAAACCTGAGCGAGAAAGGATTGAAGCAGAACTGTGTTCTTTAGGTTTACAATCAAAAAAAGAATTAAAGAACCAGGGTGTTATTTTCGATTGTGATCTTAATTTTAAATCTTATATTAATCAAGTTACAAAAACATGTTTTTATCATTTAAGAAATGTTGCCAAAATTCGTTCTTTCCTATCTTTTGATGATACCAAGAAATTAATTCATGCTTTTATTTTCTCTCGGCTTGATTATTGCAATGCTATCTATACTGGTCTACCTAAGGGTTCTACAATGAAGTTGCAATTGATACAAAATGCAGCAGCCAGAGTTTTAATAAAATTAAAGAAACGAGAGCACATTACACCAGTATTAATAGAATTACACTGGTTGCCTGTGCACCAAAGGATAGATTTTAAGATTCTTTTATTAGTTTATAAAGCACTACACCATATGACACCTTCCTACATTTCCGACTGTTTAACAAAATATAATCCAAACCGTTTACTACGCTCTTCTAGTGCTGGACTTTTAGAATTTTATCCTGTAAACTGATGCGATCTGGCGGCACTTCTTTTAGCCATTATGCACCAAAAATTTGGAACTGTCTCCCCCTTGAACTAAAAGAATCCCCAAGTATTCATGTTTTTAAAAAGCGTGTTAAGACACATCTTTTTAAAATTGCGTATGATTAAACAAGTTTGTTAGTGGTACGCATTTTATCTATTTTGTTGTGGGTTTATGTATGTAGTGTATGGTGTGTGCCTGTAAGGACTATTGTGTGTGTGATTATGTGGATATATACTTGCATTTTGTGTACATTAATGCTTTTATTTCAGTATATGTGATAAGTTTTTGTGGTCTATTTTAATGCTTTTGTTGTTGTTTGTGAGGCACTTTGAGTTGCATGTATGTTGGAAAAGTGCTATACAAATAAAGTTTATTATTATTATTATTAATGCATGATCATGTTCTATTTTGGTAAAATAAGCGTAATCTGGAGGTCTTTGCCTTTTTTATAAGCCACTTCTGATACCAATTGATTAACCAGAAGTCAAGTTCTTATTTGTTGTTCCTAAAACTTGGATAGGCAACAAGACTTTTATCAGGTTTTATTTATACATTTAGATTTATACATTGCAATTTTATCTAGTTTCTTTTCTGGTCTATGGTCCCCAATCTTTTTATTTTTTATTTTTCTATGCATCATAACTCATAACATGTATTTATGATCCCTCTTTGTAATAGCTTTTTGACAAACTGTTTAGCCAATGTCATGCCTTCCCCTCTTGTGCATACAGAGTTTCAACTTCTCTGCCATGTTACTTATATATGGTCTACTCTGTATTTGCGTGTGCTTGCCGCTCGTCTATATTTGAAATAAAAACTTGAGCTCATTATAATACTTTGCGAGTGATTATTGAAATGCCGCTTCTCCCAATCTTTTAATAACAAACATGAGTAAAGCACAAAAAAAACTTATAGGTAAATGGTTCTTTCAGCAACCCAAATTGATGTTTAATGATTATCATCACCTTTTGGACTAATATAAACTCAGAATGATGAAATTAATTTTTAACAAGTGGTTACATGTGCTGGTGAAGAATAAAGATACATATGAGAGATTTGCACTGACGTTTTTCACTTCATTTCGGAGACAGTATGTATTCATAAATGTTTTGTGTATTTATTTATTTTATATGATTGCAAACAATACGGTAGGATATTTCACATTATCACTGATCTGCAGAGAATATGACGTCTGTCGTACCCCACGCCAAGCAAAACAGTACTATCTGACAGTGGAGACACAAGCATCATAAATGTGACCCACACCATAGCAAACTGAACTGTACCACGCAGTGAAAAAGAGACAAAAATCAGCTGGTGGCAACACATTTCTTCCTCCTCAGCAGCGAGGCCGCAGTGTGCACTTCTTTGTCCTGGGTTTCAGCATCCAATGTAACATGACTTACAACTCACACTCATGATAAAAAATATATACTTTTGATCTATCACATTCACCTCAGGGTTCAACTCAATAATTAGTTTAACTGGCCCAATCAGGTTCATTCAAATCTTTACCAAAATTTTCACTGGCCCAACCAAAAAAAAAAAAAAAGTTAATAGCTATTTCTTAGCCACATATTTTAGATTGTGTCAAAAGCCAAACATAACTGTACACATACACTTTTTATTCAAATAACCTTTCTTTAAATACAACTGACAATTTTACAAATCATAATAGTGATAACAAAATTTAAAACAAAATAAATAAATAATTTAAAAATTTTAAATAAAACTGTGAATCTAGAATTTAAATATTAAGAGTCTTAATAAATGTATAATGAGCAAAATTCTAAGTGTTCCACAAACAAAATGAGCAGTATGGAAAATGTACAAGTATTTTATTGCGGTTCTAAATTATTTGACAAAAAGTGTCTCACTTAGCTGTATTATTAATTTGTAATTATTTTTTCAATAATTAAAAAAAATATATGGAACAGTTTAAATTTCAAAATTGGAATATTACATTACATTATATATGGCTAGTAATGTATTGTTTTTTTATACTGTGGCAAGCTTGTATATAAATGGTCTAGGCTCTCTTATTACACTTAAACAGCTGACAAAGTACTGTCATAACCTGCGATCACACTGGAGTTTTATCCCCATAGGCTTCATACGCACACGAATGCATCAGACTGCAAGTTTCGCAGTTCGCTGCGTTGGAAAAGTTCAAGCTTGGTGAACTCTGAACTGCAAAATTGCATCACTTGACTGTGTGAGACCAATCAAGTACCAAAACACGACCTTTCTGGATAGATGTTAAAAATATTGACCAATCGCTCATTTTTAAAAATGTTTAAATCATCTTGTTTAAATCGCGCCCCTTTTTGCAGCATCGTACTATAGAACGTTGCATGCTCAAACTCTAGTGACACTGCAGCTATATACACTTATATACACATCCACTTTATTAGGTACACCTGTCCAACTGCTCGTTAATGCAAATTTCTAAATCAGCCTATCACACGGCAGCAACTCAGTGCATTTAGGCATGTAGACATGTTGAAGACAATCTGCTGCAGTTTAAACTGAGCATCAGAATGGGGAAGAAAGGTGATTTAAGTGACTTTGAACGTGGCATGGTTGTTGGTGCCAGACAGGCTGGTCTGAGTATTTCAGAAACTGCTGATCTTCAGAGATTTTCATGCACAAACATCTTTAGGGTTTATAGTGAAAGGTCCAAAAAAAGAGAAAATATCTGGTGAGTGGCAGTTCTGTGGGAGCAAATGCCTTGTTGATGACAGAGGTCAGAAGAGAATGGCAAGACCAATTCAAACTGATAGAAAGGCAACAGTAACTTAAATAGCCATTCTTACAACCAAGGTATGCAGAAGAGTATCTCTGAATGCACAACATGTCGAACTTTGAAACAGATGGGCTCCTGTCAGCTAAGAACAGGAAACTAAAAACTACAATTCGTACATGCAAATTGCCCAATAGAAAAATCGCAAAAATGTTGCCTGGTCTGCCTGCTTTCTGTTCCGACATTCAGATGGTAGAATCGGAATTTGGCATCAACAACATGAAAGTATGGACCTATCCTGCCTTGCATCAATGGTTCAGGAAGGTGGTGGTGGTGTAATGGTGTAGGGGACATTTACTTGGCACACTTTGGGCCCATTAGTACCATAGTGTTGCTGACCATGTCCATCCCACTATGACCAAAGTGTACCCAGGTTCTGATGGCTACTTTCAACAGGATAACGCGCCATGTCATAAAGTGCAAATCATCTCACATGGGTTCTTGAACATGACAATGAGTTCACTATACTCAAATGGCCTCTACAGTCACAAGATCTCATTGCAATAGAGCACCTTTGGGATGTGCAACATCGGTGTGGTACTGAGATCCCATATCAACTTATTATTGGCATTCATTTAGTTGTTTGAGTGCAAAAGGAGTTGAAAAGCCAATCAAATGCAAGTGCCAGAAGTAACAGCAGGCTAGCGCAGAAATTCCTTTGAAAATACTGTGGTAAAATAAATGTCCATATTTTCAGGTCATGATGTGGGAAAATGGAATTGAATGCAGTACTTCTCATACATTTTGAAACCTACTTTATATCGTATATCAATCAGACAATCATTTTAAAGAAAACAGACCTTAAAGAGCTGATTTTGTAACTGCATACGGTTCACCAGAAGCACTTGAACTGGGTTAATGAAAATTAAAAGTTATTATGCGTGTTCAAACTAATAAGGCTTCTGACCTGTCTGCTTTTCCTGAAAACTGACGGCAAAATGTGCAAAACATCAAAACATGTTGCAGTCTCTTCGCTGTACTGGTTGTTACCAGTTTTTGGAAAAAAAAACCCTAACATGCTCACTTGATATGGTGAAAAATAATGTAGTCAGACTTACTTTCGACTGTCGTAGCAGTCGGCATATTAATAATGCCTTATCGAAAGTGCTTTACTGAATACCTTCAAATAATTATAAGCTGCTTTCATGTTTCTTTTTTTTTTTTTACCAAATTGCCAAATTACCAACTTGAGTGATGTATTAATATGCTGAAAGAAACATTTGATAAGTTGGACAATAATTTTTCAGAAAAAAAATTAAATAGGACCATCATATACCATTGAGTTTCTGGTAATTTCCTTAGACAGCAATCTTATGATAAACCTAATCGCATCAAAGAAGATGTTTTAGAAAACCGATCTATCGGTTTTCTAAAAGCAATTAAACAATTAAACATCACTATGAAATTATTCCTTAAGGACCCTCTTTCAATTCAGCCTATCGATCCGTCCAAAGCGGTCTACAAATTCCTCACATCAATTTTCCTCACATCAAATTCACATCAATTTTCTCTCACATCACTTAAAATACTGCATATGCACTTGTCTAGGTTCACTTATATTTGCATCTGGAACAAAGTTATTGAGGGTCTGCTTCTCCAACTACATCAATAATTGCACCATGCTGGTCAGTGTTTCCTCTAGGATTTGTTCCAGCTGTGGCTTTTTTACACCAATCTAACCAACTACCTGTGGCGTTATTTCAAGGACAAATGATGTGAGTGCAGTATTACAAGCCGAGATCGCATTCATGTAATAGCCTAAAACATGCGAATCCCTTTGCTTGCACGCCGATTTCCTCTGCTCGTGCACAAAACTTCTTGCACGCCCCCTTAAATATGCGCTGCTAGATCTTCTTGTGCGCTTCTCAAATAAACACTGCTGAAGTGCGATTAAGTGCATTTATGTAACAAGTATGTCTCCAACATTTATTAGATTTGCTAGGAATATTTATGAATATTTCCAATATGTTTACAGAGCGGTATAAATGCGTCCTGAAGTAAAGTGAAACAGCAATATGTCATGTTTGCTGGTCTCACACATCACGCACCTGTCAGTCAACCAGTCAGTCAGTACATAACCTTAAAGGGTTAAACAAATGATGTACGGAACTACTATGGGTACAGAAAATTTCATGCTGTTAAAATTTACCTTTTAATATGTTTTGGTATGATTATCACCTGCTTTAAAAAAAACAAAAACAAAAAAACAGGACAGGACAGAATGTTTTGAATGAAAAGCTGTAATGTAACTGTGGCAGGATCAATTTTGGCGTGGCGGAATGAATGTAGCGGAAACCATGCTGGTTGTATTAGACTTGATGCCACTAAGAATGCACTTTTTTATTATTGTAGTTATTAATGCGTTATTGACAAAAATTGGATAAAATATAGGCGACACCTGATATATAAGGAACTAAGCCGAAAGAAAATGAATGAATAAAGGAAGGAATGTATGCTTATTTTTGCTTTAATTCAATTAAACTTATTTGAGAGAAAGTGATTCTAACTCAGGGATGTCAAACTCAATTCCTGGAGGGCCTCAGCCCTGCACAGTTTAGTTCCAACCATAATTAAACTAACATGATCAAACTAATTGAGTCCTTCAGGCTTGTTTGAAACCTACAGGTAAGTGTGGTGGAGCAGGGTTGGAACTAAACTGTGCAGGGCTGCGGTCCTTCAGGAACTTAGTTTGACATCCCTGTTCTAACTGAAATCCAACTTGGCCTTGGTTCAGGCAAAAACCTCAGTCAAGCTTGCATCAGCTGACAATCAGTTGTTCCTAATGTATACCAAACAACTCCATTTATTCAGACTCCCTCTAACTGCTAAGGTGCATGATTACTTAACCACATGAGCACATCACCAACAACACTACCTCTATGCTTATCCTTGTTATAATTCAATTAAAAATATTTGGATGTCAATGAACGTCAGATGTCAGAAAAGAATTTGTCTGGCTATAAGGTATATTCAGACATATCACCTTGAAATGGTCAACTTCCACTTCCTCAAACTTCCCAGATAATGATGTCCCGGCACAATTCACCAGCATGTCCACAGGACCCAGCTTCTCTTGAGCCTGTATGGCAAACACAAACAAACTATCTGAAGAAAGAATAATAAGAGTTTATGTTCATAAACATGGGTGAGTTTAAATGTTCACACAGAAAAAGATGGCGAAAGGATTTTATGAATTGTTAAACATACTTGTTTTATGACACTCTCCACTTGGCTGTAGTCTTTCGCCACATCAACAGAAATGCAAAGAACCACCTAGAGGTGATCATAATAACAGCACAAACGTTTGAGTTAATTTGAGTGTAATGTCCAAAAGAAAAAGATAAATAAATCCTTTGTTAAAGACATACATACTTGCTTATCATTTATGGCAAACTTCTCCACTTCTTTCTTAGCCTGAACCAATTTGTGCTATAGAAAAAATATGAGCACAGTGGTAAATGGTTTTCAAATTGTAACACCAAAAATGTAAGACCACATGCAACAAAAATAACACTACTGTTCAAAATTTTGGGAATGTTCTTTCTTTATTTATTGATACTTTTATTGAGCAAGGAAGCTTTAAATTAAATGTATAAAGTTATACAAAATATTTTCTTTCCAACTTTCTATTTATTTAAAATCCAATATTTACCTAAAACATTTAGTAGCATTACTTTATAAACATAAACCAAATCATTAAATCTAAATGATAATGATAAAGTACATTTGCTATGTCAAAAGGGAATAAAACTTTAAAATATCAAAAAGTATTTATATTTCACAAAATTATACTTTGTATTCACGTAAATGTAGCCTAAGCAACATTAGAAAATCGAAATGGTTGGGGCTGGGATGTCATGTAAACCGTTACTGACAAATTATGTTCAGATACGTGCAAGTGACTGACCTCATCTCGTGCCACCAAGGTGATGAAGGCACCATGTTTGTAACATTCCATGGCAATACACTTCCCAATCCCGCTGCTGCCTCCAGTTACCTGATGATATTCAAAGCAGATTTACTGCAAACAAGGCACGCACATCATTAGGTAAAATACCCCTCAGTCAGAGCGAGTTATAACACCAGAGGAACCAATTAAAAAAAGAAGCAATTATATAAACTATAGGTACATCTGTTCTCGTACAGTAGTTACTGCATTTATAGTCATGGTTACAATTATTGACACCCATGGGATAAAGTATATGACCTAAGAAATTTAAATTTAAATATTTTTTACAAATTTTCTAATCTTGATTGAAACAATAAACATGAAAATGGGGGAAAATCCATTATGAAATTAATGTTTTTTTTTTATGTAATTCTTTATATCTAATACTTTTTTTTTCAGATTGCAAATTTTTCATTTTATGCTCAGTAACCAATACTTGTGTAGATTTTGATTTATGTTTTGGGTTTTAGGAGATATATTGAGCTTTATGCTTTATGGAGATATAACCATAGCCTATTTTAAGATTTATAATATATACAATATAACACACATACACATGCACGCGCACACACACACGCGCACGCACACACACACACACACACAACACACAACACACAACACACAACACACAACACACACACACACACACACACACACACAGTTGAAGTCAGAATTATTAGCCTACCTAATTTTTTAGCCCCCTTGTTTATTTTTTTCTTCAATTTCTGTTTAGCGGAAATACTATTTTTTTTAACACATTTCTAAACATAATAGTTTTATTAACTCATCACTAAAAACTGATTCATTTTATCTTTGCCATGATGACAGTAAATAATATTTTCCTAGATATTGTTCAAGAAACTTCTATACAGCTTAAAGGGACATTTAAAAGCTTCACTAGGTTACTTAGGTTTACCAAGCAGTTAAAAACTGCTTTTATACTAGCCCAAATAAAACAAATAAGACTTTCTCTAGAAGAAAAATATCAAACATACTGTGATTTTTTTTTTCAATATTTCCCAAATTGAGACCTCAATTTATGGATGGAGAAACTGAAACTTTACAAATCTGTTTTAAGATCTACAAGTAGTAGTTAACAGCATACAGGCATTTTTAGAAAGCTTTGTAAAATATTTCACAAATTATAAAAAAAAAACATATGATTTGTTGATTATTATTTGCAGATAACCCAAAATGTCATTCACCTACAACCAGGTAAGTTTGAGACCATTATAAACTATGAACCTTAGCAAATGCAAAACAAGCAGTGCCTGATTGAAAAGGGTCCACTGCCCTGGAACAGAAGGTTGCATAACCATTACAAGAATGCAGTTATTAGGCCTCCAGTGAACTGTAAATCGATTATTTGTAAATCCAATGAACATCTGAAGTTAAAATGTTTCACTTACATTTGCACTGTTCCATGGAAAATGACACTAGCTTCGATATGAGTTAGCTCATAAAATTACCTTATGAATGAAAGAGGAACTATAAAAAATCAATGAAGTTAAGCTTGTGTGATATAGGTAACTTAAAGGACAGCCAACTGACATCCTTACAATATGAATTTCGTGTTTACTTCCTTCTGACGTCATGTCTTTTATATGCAGCTTTTTCTAATAGAAGTTATATATAATTTATCTGAACTTACCACCACATGGGCACCGTTGAGTTTGAGAGGCTTGGGGCTTATTAACGGTGATATCATGTACAACAGCAGAACGAATGCCACAATAAAAGCAGCCACTACAAGCAGCATAATAAAAGGCAGGAGAAGCCACCAGGTGTTAAAGAAAAGCCAGTGTGAGAGAACGGAGTCGAGAGTTTCCTCAGAGGACATGGGTCAACCTGATGCTGTTGATGTTAGCTCACAGGCTAAATCTGCAATTCCAGACACTCTCCCGTCTCGCGAACAGAAGATTGTTAGCTTTTAGGTGAGTGGTTTACAGTCTTACCTGGTGATCTATTAGAAGCTTTTGCGAAGGGTTAAATATTAAGTTAAAGCCATAAAACCGCAAATTCTAACTCCTTCTGTTCACTAACGTATACGAACCAAAACACAGAATCCATGCACTAAAAGGGATGGGTGGGATATTTATGGGAGTTGTAGTTTTTCAAACCTAGGTTTGCTGCGCTTGAATGCGATTCGTGAAGAAAATGGACTACGAGTTCCACAGTTCTACACACGTACATAAAAACAGGAAAACTCAATATCTGTCACTTTCTTGATTTAAAATACCATCAAATTATGCAAAAACAAATATACTGAAAGCGTCGTATCTAACGTATTAACAAACAATTGCATTTAGCAGTGATTTAAATTGGAACAAGCAATCTAATTAATCTTTTCTATAACCCCACCTTTAACAGATGTCATCGCTGCTCTTAGAAAGAGAACGTTAACGTTACCCTGGAAGTTTTTGCAAAAAAAGCATAAATGGCATAATGGAAAATTTAGCAAAAAAGTATAAATAAAAAAAAATTATATATATATATATATATATATATATATATATATATATATATATATATATATATATATATATATATATATATAGTTGAAGCCAGAATTATTAGCCCCCCTGAATCTTTAGACTGCTTGTTTATTTTTCCCCAATTTCTGTTTTACGGAGAGCCGATTTTTTTCAACACATTTATAAACATAATAGTTTTTATAACTCATTAATAACTAATTTATTTTCTCTTTGTCATGATGACAGTAAATAATATTTTACTAGATATTTTTCACACTTCTATACAGCTTAAAGAGACATTTAAAGGCTTAACTAGGTTAATTAGGTTACCTAGGCAGGTAAGGGTAATTAGGCAAGTTATTGTATAACAGTGGTTTGTTCTGTAGATTATTGAGAAAAAATGTAGCTTAAAAAATGTAGCAAATAACTTTGTCCCTAAAATTGTGTTTAAAAAATGAAAAATGCTTTTTTTCTAGTCGAAATAAAACAAATAAGGCTTATTATCAGACATACAGTGAAAATTTCCTTGCTCTGTTAAACATCATTTGGAAAATATAAAAAAAAAAAGAAAAAAAATTGAAGGGGGCTAATAATTTTGACTTCAACTGTATATATATATATATATATATATATGTATGTATGTATGCATGCATGTAAATAAATGCCATTTTAGAACAAGGTCATTATACAAGCATTCATTGAGGTCTGTTGTACTAAAAAGCTGAAAGTCCTTGCCTTTGGAATTTATGATATGAAACACAAAACAGTATTGTACACGTAATTCTTTTTTTTCCATTTCAACTTTATTTACATGTGAATGGTGAAATAAACGAGAAACCACTTTCAAACCACTTTCAAACCGCCCGGAATTTTTTTTAACTGAACTTATATTTAAAACAAACCATATCCATACTATATTGTTATTCTAATAGTACAATGTCTTACAGGATTTTAAATGCCAAACCAAACACCCTATATAAGTGCATAGGACCAGTATGCAGATTGATATATTGTTGTAAAGCGCTAAATGAAGTATGCAAATATTATTACCAAACCTTCCTATAAAAACAGTAATTGATATTTGAGACAGACAAACAGACAGACAGGAGGAAAACGCAAAGAAGGCACACTGTGAGCTGAGCCTCACCAAGTGAATTTACAAATGTCCAACATTGGCCCCTGAACATGTAATGTAACTCATATCTCAGTGAAAGAACAGCATTTTTTTACAGTAATATACTGAAAGTAAGGCTTTACACAGAAACAAATCATATGTAGAATATGTAGAGTGTTACGTCAAAAAGCATTGCACAGCTTTCTCAAATAAAAGGAAAAACAGAGCAAATCTGGAATGGCATCATGAAGAAGAGTCTACACCTGAACCCATGAAAAATGCTTTGCTACAACAGACAAGAGCCACTTAATAGTTCTTTGCCTATAAAGCAAAGAAAAAGAAAAGAAAATAACATTTAGACATAGTGTCCCTTCAGATTTATGTGACTCTGTAAACAAGACATTAGATATAATAACCAGATATTAGAACATCCTCAAACGCTCACTGCTTTACTTGAATTTTAAATAGGTGGAAGGGCCGGTAGTAACAACAACACACAAAAAAAATGTGATTGAGGCAACAACAACAAAAAATATGATTGAGGCCGCTGATTAATGTTGAAAGACGGATGATGGACACAAGTAGGTATTGATGGGAGCCTTGCAGGCACAGCAGCTATTGACGGATGTGAAAAAAAACTTCTTCACATGGACACATTTCAGTTTACATCAGTCCTTTTGCCTGAGCAGAGGGGGCTTGTGGGTCTGAGGAAGAACATAAGCATGAAAGGAAGAGAGGGACATGTGAAGGATAAGAGAAAAGACATTACAATCTCAATTTTGCTTTGGTTCAGCACCAGTTCTGTTCAGCCTTCCTGTCCAAAGTCCTCTGTGAACTTTTTCAGCTTTTCCAGATCCTGCTCGTTGACCGTGGGCTTTGTGTTGGAGAGGGACCTCAGCATGTCAGACTGTTAGTATGAGCAAAGCATAATGAGGACTTAATAAAAGTACCATCTTTTCTTGCAGTCTTGCAGTTCAACATAATGATGAAAAAATAGTGTTTAAAAAATGAAAATGATTTATTATTTTAAATATAGGATTATAGAATATAGGCATTCCTGTCATTACACAGTGAATAGATTTGGAATCTGTTTCTGCAAAATAGCTTTGTAAAATAATTTTAATAATGTCTGCTTACACATCATTAAAACAACAATTATACTATTATTGTAAATTAAAAATACTGCTCACTCTTATTTCTAAGCCAAAACTTGAACTCAGTAAATAAAGAATTATTGTATATGATATATTATACAGAATAAAAGATTGTTTTGAAAGTAACAAATCACAAATAGTGTGTTCAGACAAGGTAAAAAAAAAATAAAAAAAAAAAGGAACTAAAACGATATATAAAAGCTCACCATGGAAACAATTGGCTCCAAAAGTTTCTCTCCTGGAACTTCCATCCATGTCATTTCTTTAGCTTGTGGATCCCCTGGGGAACAAGGGGTTAGGAGGTCATCCACTATGACATTTGGGTCACTCCTTGATGGCCCCCGTACCTAATGAAATGGTAATTCCAGTTAGAATGGCAAACAGTTAATGTAAGATTCAATATGTTAGTGTCTATTTTTATGCATATTCCATATGTATTAGTCCCTTTTTATCATCAGTTCATGAAAAAAAAAAGTCTAGACTTTTTATGTTAATCACTTTGGATATAATTGTCTGAAAAATCTAATGCAAATTATATTTATATAACTATTTATTTAGTTATGCAATCACTCAGGAGTGGTTCTTTGTCATCTTCCTGATTTCCCAACCTCTTTAAATTAAAAGAATAATAATATATACAGTTGAAGTCAAAATTATGAAATCTACTGAATTATTAGCCCCCCTGTTTATTTTTTTATTTTTTATTTTTTTTGTTTTATTTTTTTTACCCAATTTCTAACTGAGGAAAGATTTTCTCAACACATTTCTAAGCATAATAGTTTTAATAACTAATTTCTAATAACTGATTTCTTTTGTCTTTGCCATGATGACAGTAAATAATATTTTACTAGATATTTCAAGACACTTCTATACAGCTTAAAGTGACATTAAAGGCTTAACTAGGTTAACTACGCAAGATAGTGTAATTAGGCAAATCATTGTATAACAGTGGTTTGTTCAGTAGAATATGAAAAATATTTGTATAGCTTAAAGGGGCTAATAATTTGGACCTTAATATGGTTTTTAAAACATTAAAAACTGCTTTTATCCTAGTATCAAAATAAAACAAATAGAACTTAAATATTACCAGACAAACTGTGAAAACGACATACTATTTAAAAAAGAAAAAAAAAATTAAAAGCAAGTTTAATCATTCTGATTTCAACTATATATATATATATATATATATATATATATATATATATATATATATATATATATATATATATGAAATAGAAAAATGTTTTTAATTACAGTGTAAAAAAGTCAAAATGGTACTTTTTTGTTGTACTTTGGATCAAATAAATACAGGCATGGTCAGTCAAGTATCATTTTTTCATTACTTTGACTCAAATATATTTACTACTACACACATATCATGGCCACACCATAATGTTACACAGGCACAAGTGCTAGCATGAGCAATAAGCTGCTGGCTCCAGTTCACTTAATGAAACTAAATTAAAGGTGATCTACATATCGCCCCTATAAAACATGAATGCAACGTCTCACAGGACTAACCTGTTTAAAGTGAGTGGCAGACTGAACCTTCCGGACAGGCTGCATGAGAGCATCTCTGACAATGATGCTGATGTCAGCACCAGAGTAACCATCTGTCTTCTTGCCCAGGGTCATGAAATCGGATTCGGTGAGACTGTTAGGCGTGGTGCCCAGATTCAGCTTGAACATGAAGCTGCGAGCATGCTCTTCTGGTAGAGGGATGTAGATACGTTTTTCAAATCTAAACAAAACACAGAGCATTAAGTGGCAACTGAACAGACTTACAGGATTCATTGAGTATGCTATACTTATCTATGCTAATAATGTATTAGTATTGAGTATTGAGTATTGACATTTAGTATGTTAGTCTGTTTGTCTGTTTACTCTGACATAAATAAGTTTTGAAGTTGCTTTTATTCAACCAACAAGTTTTTTTTGTCCAAAAATTACACATGCTTCTCCCAAAATATGAACAAGACTATGTACAAGAGGCATCATTGTGGAAAAAAAAAAATTCAGCTTTTATTTACATTTGAACAAAACTTCAAGTCAGAATTTGTCAAGGGTATGAATAACTAACCATTTAACTTGAATAATATTTGATTAAAAAATTTTATCAAAACATCAGAAAATCATGAAAACGGCAAATATAGCCTCCGATACAGTTTGGTATCATGCCACAAATCTGTTAACATAAATAATAAAAAAAATTGCCTGTCAACATAGATTTCAAATTTTTTGTTAGCATGGTCAGAAGATGAAGTTGAGTGACAATCTAAAAACAAAAAACTAAAGGAAGTGGAAAGGATGTTTAGCTGACTATTGCAT